GCACAGAGAATCTAGACTAAAGTGTAGATTATCAGAGAGTTTTAAATGTTGAAAACTATGTAAATACAAAGGCAACTAGCAGAAGGTGTTATTTTGGTGTTTCCAGGATCACAGCGAGTTAGTCTTCGAATCCAATATACCAGTAATTATCTCTGTTCTATACAGCCTGCACAAAGTCATAGATGGTCAAGTACACTTCGTAATGACCACTGTTTGTACACCACGATAATTTGAAATCTGCCAAACCATTGCTCAATGTCTTATTATGGATTTCATAAAAGGAACTAAATATAATTAGTAGTAACCAAGCAGTAAGAAACAGACTTTATGAGCCTGGACTAAAGTCAATAAAGTCTCCTACAGCCTCGCATTTGATCGAACAGTTTATACAAGTTTCGGCCTTTAGGAAGCAGATAGGGACTTGATCGGGTACCAGTAACCTTCAAATATGAGTAAATATTCCATGAGTCTACCATTGATCAGTGAGCCTATGTCTAGAATTCTAGATATGAATGATATGTTAACTACAATATCATTAAATGTAACCGTTTTGAAGGCGGTTTTGCTACAGTGAAGTGAGATAGTATTGTTAATGGACATACAAGTGTTATTATACTTCCAAAAGAGGAAGGCTACTGATCTACAATATACTGATATGATATAGGACCACTAAGATTTTTCGTGTGTTCACTTGGACAAGAGGTTATCCTGTTACCAGGATTTTTAATGTCAGTGGATGAAATTAAGCTGGGAATCTGTTAACTTGGTATCCATTTTTGGCTTATTTGTAGCTCAAATAGTTTGTAAACAGCAAATGTTTGAAGTTGGAGATGTCAAACTGTAAAATATAATGAACTGCACATTATTTTTTCATAATTTTCAAGTTTGTGAAACTGATAAAAATCATAACCCTAGTTTTCAGATGATATTTATTTTCTTTCTCTCAATCTATTTGTCTTGGAGCTCCCACTCTTCCTTGTATTGTTATACTAGACTTGTAAAGTTCTAAAATTTCTGGCTGCATTTTGAGGGTACCTCAAAACAGTGACTTTTGTCTTGTAAGCTAGTAATGGTCTTATATGGTCTGCAGAAATGTGTCGGAAAGTCCAACCAGCATCACGTAAAGCTTTTATGCGAACTCTCTGCTCTACTGACAATTCTTTACGTTTTGGGGGCCGGGGGATGACAACAAAATTTAATATATAGTGTTAAACAGTGTTTTTATCAAGGTTTATTTGTAGAGTGTTATTAAATTGATTTTTTCTAGCATATGCCGGTACCATATGCTAGCTTCTTCTATATGATTAAGACACTGCATGGGATACCATTACAGTTATTTCAGACCCTAAATTGATCAGTATGTTGATTCAAGTTGAACCCCTATGACATACCCTTGTGACAAGTATATGGAAATTCTAAAGAATGATAAGTATTCTCACCCTGGCTCATTCAATGTCAACAGGAATCAGTGAAGCATTACCAAAATTTCACAGCCCTTTACCGTTATCTTTTGTATAGAAGCAGATAATCCGAATCATATTCGGTAATACTGGTATGTAAGTACTGAAGCAGCGTGGCTTTAGAAATCCTTAATAAACCTTCCCATACGTATAATAAGGCAAAGGGACATAGTTAGCCTTATTTAGCATTGATCCACAGCTAATAAAAACAAGAAAACATTCTCAATATTCTAGTAACATTGATCTAAAAAACTAAAGCTTTGAAGCTTCAGTAAACATCGTATATTCTCTGGTCACAAGTGATCGGAAGACTTCTTTAAGATTTGATCAGTCTTTTTCTATAGATAATCGAAAACAATGTTTGTTGCTTATACAGTACTGTGCAAAAGTGTTGGGCGAATTCTTCCATGTCATTACAGAATGTAAATTTCAACACTACTGCTCTTTCGCTTGTACACCAAAGTTAACTGAAGATTTTCCCAGGATGACCAGCTTTTCCTTGTTTTACCAACGGTAAATGAGGATTTCCAGAGTTTCTTGCTTTAACATTCAGTAGATCAAGTATAACTAAGGATGGTCAGAGTTTCCTTGCATTACCAACGGCAAATGAGGATTACAGAACTTTTCTCAGTAGACCAAGTATAACTAAGGATGACCAGACTTTCCTTGCTTTATTACTTAGTAGACTAAAATTAGTTAGGGATAGGTAAGTTTTCACTTACTCAGTACCTGTAGACAGTAGTAACTAAGGATATATATATATAATTTCTCTGTTTCAGCAACTTTAGGACAGCGTTATTTGAGTTAGCTGAGATTTTCTTGCTTCACTATCTACAGATCAAGATTAATTGAAGGTGAATGTGTCCTTTTGCCTTATTACACACACAGAATAGAATTAACTGACTATTGTAGGCCAAGAATGAATGAGAAGTTTTCCGTTAGTTTCTGTAAAGCAGTGATAAATACATTGTTGTTAACTACACAATGGGTTATCTGTTCTCTGCCAACTACGAGTATCGAAACCCGATTTTTAGTGTTATAAGCTTTGAGACTTACCGCCGAGAGGCCAGTAATAATGAAGGATGATAAAAGTTTCTCTAGCTCATGTCCCGTCAGTAAAGATTAGTTGAATGAAAGTGAACTGTTTCTTACTCAGTATCTATAAATCAAGATTATCTGAACGTACTTTGGAAATTGATCCTTTAAACCCTGTTGACTAAGATACTTCCAGCATATAATTATCTTTGTTTTTTCTATATGTTAAGTTTCGAAAACTCATATGTAAATGTATAACATTCCATACATATTAATCCAATTGACTGTTCTAAAGCAGGTGTTTAGGAAAAAACAAAATGCAGTAATGGAACTGACAGGGAAATGTGACGAGTTCTGGTGTTAAACGAAAAGTCTCATGAGCAGTGACTTTGGGAGATATAAGATAGATCTGAAATGACATTTTTACACACCCCCGATTTTCAACTCAAACTGAAGAAATTAAGAAGAGCTTGGAAACAGAAAGTCTGCAATGTAGGTGACTTTTATTACACATTGTAGGCCTGTTGTTCTAATGCTTTGCTAGTTTTTGACATTTAACCGTTACTTTTATTTTTATCACTTTGAACACATTAAATACAAGTGGTTTAGTATATTCCGTCATAAGAAATACTCACGACCTACAGTGGCATGAAACAACCTTTGCAAACCCAGTATTTTACAAGCAAATATTTTTGGCCAAAATAACAAATTGATGGTACTAATGAATACTATGGGGATTTTAGCTGCTTAGAGCGCCTGAGGAACAAACATGAAAATATTCGAAAAATCTATCCCCTGACTTTTTCTGTCTTGTTATATCACAATCTGTAAATTTGTATTTTCTTAAACAAAACTTTTGCTTTCTAAATGTTATTTACTTCCTATTGAAACAGCGACTATTCCATATGTTTCTTTCTCGCCGTATTTATTTATTTTTGTTTCTTATTAAATTCTTCAATATTTTTCCTTTTAATTTTCGTTTTCACACTTTCTACATGCTCCTCACCTATTTATTTTGTATGTCATATTTAGTTATTATTTTCCATGAAGTGAATCTTGTTTGTTCAATTTTCTTACCAGTACAATTATTACCTTTTCGTTTCTTTCTAAACACTAACTTTAGAACAATTAATTGGATTAGTATGTATGTAATGTTGTAAATTTACATACGAATTCTTAAAATTTTAAACAAAGAAATAAATCTGAAATAAATAAATGTGTATCCTTTTTCACACAAAAAAAAAATATTGTAATTGTTAACTAGTGTTGAATATTCAAAGTATCAGCGAACTCTTTTTATTTTTAAGGCATGCATAAACCTTTGAATAAAATGAGTCTCTAAGACCCTTCAGCCCCTCGGTGGCAGAACGGTAAGTCTAAGGACTTACAACGCTGAAATTCTTATTTTGATCCTAGCAGTAGGCACAGCACAAATAGCTTTTTGTGTATCTTTGCGCTTAGCAACAAAATAAACAGATAAACAAGATACTCTTCTCCTTTTCTGTGGTACTTTAGATTATATATCAGACTAATAAATATAATTCCTGTTTCATAATTAGTTCTTTTCAGGGTCATGAATTACAATACAGGCAATCCTGCTTCGTTTCCTCTAAAGTGTAAACTGTCATGAAATTGATTTATGTCTGCTCGTTCAGACGAGCTGTAAAACTAGAATGGTTGGGCGAGACGCTTCCCTAGTCCCAAGGCTGTCCTATATCGGTCAACTCGTGTATGTTTACTTCAAGAGCAGTTTGACACATAAGGATAAAAGCGACAGGGAGTCTTTTACCGGTGATTTTTTTAACCCAAAATATTTCTCGATCGAGAGTAAATTTGACATCAATGCACGTAAGCACCGTCTGACTTTAACACGTATTTAAAAATACAGATAAAAGGGCGAACAGTATCATAATCTTAAATATGCGACTTATATATACAGGTATACATATAATATATATATATATATAACATATCTTTACGCACTTTCATAATTATAATATCCATACACTTACAAACTCGACAGTAAATTACTTCTGTAACGGAAAAAATAAGACTATTCAAGCTATTTGGAAATTTTTTAGGCAATTTATTACGAATCATTTGCAACACATTAAGATTATTATAAAGGATAGAAATTATATCCTACTAAGATCATCACATTCAATCTTAGACCGACACAGGAAATCTTCTAAAATTTGTGCTAAATTTGAAAACTATAAAACACGTCTGATGGAAACGATGTCTACATTGTGATTTAAATTTGTTTTCATTTTGCGTCTTTGCAGCATGTGATGTCACGATGAATGATAGAGTTAGGCTTATCCTTGCTTTCTGACCATACTTTTAAACTTTTATAACTGATTAGTATTATTCGACTACTATATCATGATAAAGAATAAATTAATTTGGTACTAAATAATATAAATACCAATAGAAAATGTTATTAACATTAGTAATTAATAATAACTTTGTAAGAATATCTATAAAACATAATAATCTCCCTTCAACTTATAATGCTGGGCAGTAGCATTCTTTGTCTCCGCCAAATCTCGTTTTCTCTGTTACTGGTCTCTGAACTCGAATCAAAACAACTGCGCAGAATGTGCGCTGTAACGAAACTCCTCATGAACGCAAACTGAGACAATACTGATTGAAAAACAAAGACAAAAATGTATAAGCTTCCATGATTCACAAATAAACAATTAAATGTATTTTCATGAGAAAACTGGGCTAAGAACTTCAAGAAAATATATTTCAAATAAACTGAATCAAACAATACTATGAAAAATTAGAGAACAGCTTAAAATTAGTGCCAAAAATGAGATGTAAAACAAGTTATGTATCAAACTTACATCAATTAGATGGTAAAACAAGCTATGTGTCAAACTTACATGAATTTATATTCACTTTTGGATCTGCTTAAGAAAGTGTTTTAAGATTAAAACCAAAGCTATTTGTAGTAGAAAGATTAGTAATACACGCGGGTTTTAAAGTAGAGATTGTTAACAGTGTTTGCACTCATAGTCCTAGTTCACATGACTTATAGAATATAAAGTGAAGCTATTTTCCTCAAAATCTTTATTTGTGGAATGAAGAATAATTGACACTTTTCGCTTTGGAGCTCTTGATTTTGTAATTAACGCGCTTTTCCTACTCCAGATCAAGACTACATTAAGGAATTCACCACATCAAGTATAAAAGATTTGTTAATGTTGTTAATTAGCTTGGAATATCTCGGAATATTTGAGATGAATTTACCAAGAATAGTCAGAGTAATTCCAATCTGAACATTAATTTACTAAAATAACACACACACACACACACAATATATATATATATATATCATTTTTCTGGTGTAATTTTCTTATTCAAACCCTTATGGATCTGGTGTATGTACTCACTCCTTTCAATACCAGAACAGTTTTTAACGCATTCTAATAGCTTAATACCATTCTATTATACCTAAGAAAATAACCAAAAAGGAAATAAAAAAATTGAAACTAAAATCCAAACTAGATTTTATCTCTTAATATTTCTGTTACAAGGTTAACATGTAGGCAAGCTGAAACTGTAACTAATAAGGAAAAACACGGGGTATATGATAACAATGTTAGTTTAAATACATATACGAAAATTAAATTAGATAAAAACCTGAGTAAGAATGTTATTATATCAGTTAGGTGCATCTGGTACTCTTTGTTTTTAAACAAAAATAGAGATTCCTATAAATCGTCGAACAGTCAAGTTCAGTATAACATTATTATAGTTTACATATAATACAATCGTACATGGGCATGTTCTACATTGAAAAACTGGATTTTTCGAGTTATTTGATCAATCAGGTGAAGTGTAATACGTTCTAAAAGATTCTACGTGATACTTTGGATATGAATTATTTTACACATGAAAAGTGGCGAGTTATAGAATGGAAATGCAAAACTATGTTGCCTTGTCATATGTGGTTAAATAGCAATACTTTACAATCATCAGCCTAGTTACTAAAACACCATGACAGAAATATGAGTAACTTGAATGTTCCATGTCTTGGGGCTACAAGTTTTCATGTATGGTAATTTCATTGGACAGATTCAAACCGAATGTGCCGTTACAAGGCCACCACTGGTAGTTGACGGGTGGGAAATGTGCCAGGATATTTAAGAATGCTGCATAAATATTTCAGTAAGGAATATTTTGTGTGTGTGTATGTATGCTTCTATAACAAAATAAATTTAGCATATCGAGGATAAAACCGTTAGGAAATATTAGAATACTATCCGTGTCACGCAAGTGTGCGTTTATATAGTCATCCACGATCACTTATTAAAAATACTGTCCTTATAATTATGAATCGTTTTTCATAGAACAAGATTAAGACATTTATTATTATTCGAAACAACTGGAACGATACAACTTCCCAACATTAAATTTATATAAATCAATCGACTAGCGTTCTTCAAGGAATAAACAGAAAATTCTACTGGTTTGATAGAAAAGTTGTTTTTTGTTGTTGTCTTTTACTAACGAAGAGGTAAAAATGTTCTTCTAAAGTCATAGCCTTTTCCCTATGCCTTTAACTAAATATATAGTAATAATTTGCGATCAGAGTAAGCTATGTACCTAGAACGAAACTGGCCATCAGTATAGCTAATTAATTATACTTTACTTACCTTTCTAGTTAACGTTGTTAGCGATATTTTTGGCAGCAATCTCATTAATACCTTATAAGGTCTGTCCAGCTCAGAAGACTTAATTTAGTCCTATGTACATTCCAAAGCTAATAATGCAAAATAATCGTTATAGTGAAAGTATAATAATTATCAGTAAATCCAAGAAACAAGTACTGACATTCGATGTACTAAATAATTTAAATAATAGTATTCATGAAAGTAACAATAATAAATAAATAATATAGTATATGTAAGGAATTGAAAGAACGTATATTCAAAATATGCACTATATTTTCACCTTAATCAAATATATCAAATATTCAGTTTATATTAAAGAAAAAAAGACGTTTTCACATTTTATTGAAATCAAAATATTTCTACAAAAAAAAGCAAAAAGCAAAACATATCAGAGAGAGAAAAGAAGGGAGAAATATATCAGTATTGACCTATTTTTATGTAATTAAATCTTAAATTAATTGTTAAAAAATCTATTATCACATCTTTTATAAATGACATCAAAGATGTTAAGATGAAGACACAAATAATAGTGTTTTTAGAACGAGTGAACATTCAATTCGAGAAATTATTTTAAATCAAAATACGACATATCCTTACAAAAAAGAAAAGTAATGAAATATATAAAGATCATTATAATTTTATCTGTCAGCTAGCACTAAAATTTAAATTTGGAGACAAATTAATTTTGAATGGAACTTATATTATTTATTTTGACATCACAGTGTTTAAATTGTAAATAATTACAAGTTGAGGATTATTTGTATCCTGTTTTGATAATTAAAGCTTAAAACCTATAAGATAAACTGGGGTTTCCTAGTTGTTGATTCATTAGATAAGTATTAGTTAATCTTTGAGAATCACAAAACAATTTTTTCGTAAAAAACTTTACGAGTTAAAACTTTTAATTATCTTTATTAGATCCAATATTTTAAGTAATATATGAAACAAATTTTCCAGTCATTAGCTTTACCAACTAAAAAAATACTATTTCTTTTTCGTCGTAGCAAATAACGAAATTAACCTATAGATACTAACCTGAATCGGCCTGTGTCGCAAATGTCATCAATTCATTATGCTAGCTGAAAAAAAGAACACAAACAAAAATATTGAATACAAGTGTAAAGAGGTTATAATTTCATTGCATATCACTTGTTAGCCCACATTTCGAGTATTGTGTATTGAGTATTGTGTTCTCAAATTGTTTTCTCTTGAAAAAAATGAAAAGTTAGAGGAGATATAATTGAGAAGTTTAAGATTGTAAATCTTAAATCTTATTTCATACTTAACAATGAGAACAGTAGGACAAAGGGACACAAATATAAATTTTGGCAGGGTAGGAGTCATCTTCAGCTAAGACAGTTTTATTTTTCTAACAGGGTG